ATGTAAAGAAACTGCAAGGAATGAAACTTTATAAACGATAAGTAGACTCATCATCATCATCAACATGGTTGTTCTCGTTCTCAAGTTAGTTTCATTTTGGTTACCAAAATAGTTAAGTGGTAATGGAGGACGTGATAGTATCTTTGAGATGGAAGTTTTCCCCGAAAAACAAAAACAAAACAAAATTACATAGACAAAGTCAGTAAATTGAAAATAAATAGTCAATGTGTATTTTAGGTATACAAAATACTCCCCATGGTGGCGGTGGTGGTGGTGGTGCTGCTGCTGATGAGGATAACGATAATGGAGTACACACATCGATGATGGGTTAGGTGAAAAACAGGAAGCTGTTTAATAAAATTTACAACTTTGTTTGATGACTTAAGTTAGTTAAGTAAAACTTGATTTAATCATTTTCGTCGTCGTCATTATCATCATCATCATCGACGCCATTTTCTTGGAGAAGTTTTCCCCAACACATTGTCAGAATAAGGTATAATTCTGTTTGATTTTCTCTACATGACATTGCATAGTATATGGTTTCATATGAAGCATATGGCCTGTTTTGGAAGTACAGGTAGTTAGTTCTATTTTCATGAAAACTCAGATTTTGTTAAAGACTCATAGTAAAGCTGAACATGAGTCGCATCTGAAAGAGAGAAAGGTACTGTCACTTTTTACTATAGCTTTTACAGTTGTCAGAAAATGTCAAAGGTTTAAAGACTTCTTGGACTTTTTCTTGACAATACGAGATATAATTTTCAGCCAACAAAGGGGAATTTTTGGTCTTTTTTTAAATATGATAAAAAACGTCCCTTTAAACAGGGTCATAGCAAAAAATTATCAATGTAACCATACATTTTTGTACGGCACTCATAAAAAAAAACTCTTGATTTAAGTTATTGCACAGCTTTTAGAAGTATTTTTCAATTGATTTGGCTAAAAAATCAGAGGGTATCCTTATATAAGGTTTGTGTCAAAACGGTGACTTATATAATATAAACAAAAACAAGTAAGCAAAGGCTATAGTCGTGCGGGACCGACCATGTGGTGCCCTACAACACTACAAAATGTTAGAAGCCCCTTATGTCCAAATCCATTTTGGAAGATTTCGCTATTGAATTTATGTCACGGAGCACTGCCCAGATAGTACCCTTAGCTTTTTGACCAGGGCATTTGCCCAATATTTACACACTCCGTCGCGTTGTTAGTTGTTCTGGTGCATTTTACAGCTAAATATAATCCACTGTTCATCCAAAATGCTAGAATTTTTCTATACCCTTAGCTCTCTTCTCATGCGTGTTGATTGGCTTCAATTGTGTGATCAGGAAATTTTTTCTGTTTTTGGTTCATTTGAACCCCTAAATATTTTGCGATCATCTCCAAAAGCAAAAGACCACCCTTTATCCCCAAATTTAGACTCATCTATATGATTTGCTGCGATAGCAGCATAAAAACCGAGAAGTCCGCCATTTGTGTATTTCGGACATCGCCTGTAAGTAATGTTGGTATTTTTCAAACAAAAGTAGTGGTTCATTCTACCCGCTGTTCACAACTCGAACTTTTTATGCGACTTTTTTTAGATTTTGTATTTTTATGGTAAAAGGGCATTCTGAATTGACAAAATTTGGCTAAATCGGTCTAGCCATTCTTGAGATATAAGCATTCTAGCTAACATCCCCTTCCTATGCATATACACATTGTATATATTTCGCTATATATATCCGATATATGTACTATCGGCATCTACGTAACGGTCAGAATTGATCTGTTCATCTGTTTGTGATTTCGCCGGGATTAAGAAGATTCGTGGTTTAATGGAAAATTTGACTTTTGTTTAACACAAATATTGTGGCCTATTTCACCCACTAAATATTACCCGATGACCATCAAAATTGGAAGGCTTCTGCCTAGCCCTCAGCTCTAGCCCCATGCTAACTTCCGATCGGTCTATAATCGCGACCTGTAGAGCAACTTCAAAATCAGGAATTTTTTCACTTTTTGGTCCATTTCAACCCCTAAATATTATGCAATCATCTCCAATGAAATTGGACCCTAGCCCCACCTCCATTCCAAATTTTGTGAAGATCGGACCATAACTGTGACCTGTAGAGTGATTACAAATTAACATGGACAGACGGTCGGACGGACATACATAGCTAGATCGACTCAGCTCGGCGAGATAGGAAGATCCATATATACTTTCCTATGCGGGAAACCAATATTTCGTGGTGTTACATAATTTTTGGACCAATAACTTATAATACCCCCAACACATAGTGTTGTAGGGTATAAATATCAATAATTTGGGGAAATTAATTAGAACAAGTTAAAAAGTGTCAGCTGATTTTGCCGACAGACGGATAGCCTCAGACACTATCCGTTTAATTCGATATATTTTGTGACTTGCGTGTAATGATTGTTCAAACTGTTGACCCTCTATGAAGGTTGTTCTGAAGAAAGAATAATAAGTCGAATAATTATTTCCAATTTTATGATAGTAATTGTTAAACAATATCTTAAACTTTTATGGTTTATGATACATTCCATATTCACACCAAGTTTGAAAAGTATCGTTGAATTGTTTAACAATTTATTAGAGGTATACAGGGTGAGATAAAAAAACTGCAACAAAGTGAAACGCCATCATATTTTCATTTGTTTTAAATTTTATTGAATGAAAGCAAAAAATGTCGGAAATAGCATCAAATTTTAGAATAAGTTTAGATTTGTTCGAATTGATCACCTTTGGCACGAATTATGGCCTCCAAGCGGTCGATGAAACCGTCACACGCTGCCCGAATGTTGCTCTGCGGTAATTTGGACCATTCCCGGCGAAGCGCTTGCTTGAGGTGATCGGCACTTTGGTATTTTTAAGTGGCAACCTTGCTTTCCAAAATACTCCCGATACAATAGTCCAATGGATTGGTATCCGGAGATTTTGGTGAGCATTGTGCGCTGGAAATGAATCTGTGAACCTTATTTTGTAACCATTCATGGATGGCGGGTGCTCAGTGCGATAGTGCTGAGTTCTGTTGGAATGTCCAAGGTCTGCAGCCAAACTGTTTGCGTGCCCAAGGCTTTAATCCACCCTCCAGAATATTTTCGCGATAATATTCGGCATTTATTCTGATGCCACGGTCGATTAATACAAGCGGAGAGCGACCATCGGCTGTTATGGCGGCTCACACCATCACCATGGCCGGCGCTTGAGTTCTGGTGGCCAACCGAAGATGCACATTTTCAGCTGACCTCTTTGGCAACTAAACACGATCATTTTGTTTGTTTACAAACTGCTGGACAACAAATATTTTCTCATCGGAGAAAACCAAATTCGGCAATTCACCACCACACCAAGCGAGCAACTAATTAGCTCTTTTGAGTCTATTTTCTTTCTTCTCAATTTCAATGGCTTTACCCCGAGCTCATTTTTCAATATTTGCCGAATGGAATATTGCAATATGTTCTGCTCACGAGCCATTTTTCGGCCACTGCGAGGCGGGTTTCGATCAGGTCGCTTCTTTATTTTTCGAACCATTTCTGCTGATGTTGCTGGTTTCTTCCGTCCACTTCCTTGACGTCGGGCTACGCAACCAGTATCACGGTGACGAGCGATGGTACGAGACTCAAAAGATTTATTCACATTTAAATGCTGGAGTGCTCTAACGATAGCCACTTGTGGTTTTCCAACCAAAAATTTTTAAATCACACTATCTCGCTTGAATTCCATCACAAATATCTTTTTTTTTTTTTTTTTTTTTGAAGTTTTTTCATCTCCCCCTTTATATATCCTTCCAAACCACCAACAAATCTCCAATACAGATGCCATTAGCAGAAAAAATATCATATTTTAGAATTTTATCTCTATCACTTCAACCTATGCCAAATTTTGTATTATTTAGAACTTGTATTTTTATACCCTACACCACAAGGTGGTCAGGGTATTATATCTTTGTTTGTAACGGGCAAAAGGAAACGAGATAGACCCATAGTTCGTTTTGATGATCTGCATAGAATCACATTCTGAGTCGATTTATGCATGTCCGTCCCTCCGTCCGTCTGTCCGTCTGTCCATGTATTTTTGTAAACAAAGTACAGTTCGCATTTATTGCCCTATCCAGATGAAATTTTGCACAAATCATTTGTTTGGCCTAAGGACGAACCTTATTGAAATTGGAGATAATCGGTAAAAATTTAGATATAGCTCCCATATACATCTTCGTCCGAGTTGCCTTTTATTGTGCACCAAATGTGTAATATCAGTCGGAATAGCATGGAATTTTGCACGTACTATCAGATTGCACCTGAAAATAAGTATGCCAAATTTGATAGAAATCGGTTCAGTTATAGTTATAGCTCCCATATATATTCCTCATCCGATTTGTTATTTTTGTCCTCCGCAGCCGTAATATGCACTCTGTAACAACAATATTTGGGCAAACATATCAAATGCAGCTCAGAAATACATTTGCTAAATTTGTTATTTTTGTCCTCCAATATGACGTTCGGCCCCTCCCGACTTTAAAAGTCGGCCCCGCCCGACTTTAAGACTTTCTTTACTGGTTTTTTTTTATTATTTAGTATTTTGTATTAGTACGAAAGTACAGTTATAGTTCACATTTCCAAAACCACCTACTCATCTCAATTCCAGATACCAACAGAGACCTCAATGTCAAATTTCAGATTTGTATCTCCATCCCTTCAACCAATGCCACATTTGGTACTATTTAGTCCTTTTCGAAAAACACCTTAATATGGTGAATATCCCTTCACTCAATACCTCCATATCCCCGCAGACGTACTGAGCAAAATCGTCTTAGAATTTTGCTGTGATCAAGAATATATACCTTTTGTTAGGTCTAAAATTATTATTTTGATGAGTTAGAAACGGAATTACGAACTTAATATATCCTCCATACTATGTACGGTGGAGGGTGTAAAAAATGTACTTTATATTTTTATCATTAAATATTACAAATATTCTCTCGCTTTTCTTACAGGTCTATATTGTCGGACATATACCGCCTGGGTCGGACGAACGTCATATTGGCCTACAACAAAACGGTCACACCACATTTACCGAGAGCAACAACAAACGTTATCTGGAGCTAGTAAGAAAATACTCATCAATTATTCAGGGGCAATTTTTCGGTCACTTGCATTCCGATTCATTTCGAATAATATACGACGACAAAGGTATGTACACCACAGCCAGATTGCCACCACTCCACTTAATGATATCTGAATGTAATTTGCGGGTGTTGTAAAATATAATAGCTTGTGATTGAGAGTGTGCGTGCGTGTGTGTGTGTGCGTGTAAATGGTAATGAATATGAAATCGATTTATTGCCGCTCTCTTGACCCAACTGTATAGACCGCATGAATACCCATAACCGATTTGTATGCAAATATTTATTGAAAATGACAAATATTAATTTAAATTGTTTAACCTTACTCCAGGCATAATGGTTACATGGTTGGCCAAACTAAGCCAAACAGGCTATACAAACATGAAATACACTTGATGTCTGCATAGAATATCGATGAAATCTATCTTCATTTGGTCGGGATGGCATTGTTTGTAAATGTGATTTTATATCACATTTGGTTGTCCGATTATTCCTTGCTGACATTATCATAAATATTGAATATATTTTGTGTGTAAGTGTGTACTGTGTGTACGTTCCACAACCTTGGGTCATACTTATCCAGTCCCAAAGCTTGGCTTTGACTATAAGAATTTACTCAAATATTTTATCACAAATCAAATATTTGCTATAATATATATGTACATTAGGATGTATGCAACTGAAGGAACAAGTGAAAACAAGTAAAAAGCTGTAAGTTCGGCCGGGCTGAACTTTGAACACCCTCCACCATTTGGAACGAATTTGGCAATTCTCAAAAACAAAAAAATCCATTAAAAATTCTGTTAAAATTTTAAAAATACCGAATGTAGCTGTCATATTAGGGTCTATACGACGCCATAGACCTGCATAGGTAACATTTGTCATAAGCCATTACAATATTCAAATGCGAAACTTAAAATTAAATCGGTAATAATGAAGCTAAAATCATCAAAATACCGAATATCGAGAGGTACCGTTATATGGGGGCTATACGAAAACGTGCACCTACACAGACAATTTTCTATCTTAGGCTGTAGTATCCACTACGAACTTCAAATACCAAATTTGAAAGAATTCCGGAGAATAATGTCGCTAATATCATCAAAATACCGAATATCGGGAGGTACCGTTATATGGGGGCTATACGAAGACGTGGACCTACATAGACAATCTCCTGTCATAGGCTGTAGTATCCACTACGAACTTCATATACCAAATTTGAAAGAATTCCGGTGAATAATGTCGCTAAAATCATCAAAATACCGAATATCGGGAGGTACCGTTATATGGGGGCTATACGAAGACGTGTACCTGCACAGAAAATTTTCTATATTAGGCTGTAGTATCCGTTATGAACTTCAAATACCAAATTTAAAACAATTCCGGTAAATAATGTCGATAAAATCATCAAAATACCGATTATCGAGAGGTACCGTTATATGGGGCCATACTAAGACGTGAACCTTCACAGACAATCTCCTGTCATAGGCTGTATTATCCATTACGAACTTCATATACCAAATTTTAAAGAATTCCGGTGAATAAAGTCGCTAAAATCATCAAAATACCGAATATCGGGAGGTACTAAACGAATATCGGGGGTAACGGCCCATGTCCTGCAGACATAACATATATTTGAGTAAAATTTTATTAATCTACTTAATTTTGCCCGGAAGCTAGAGTGATTTCCACAGGCGGATAGACGGACGGATATGAAGTCTAAAATGTATATTTCGAGGTTTTACAAACGAAATGACAAACTTAATATACCCTTCATACTATGGTGGAGGGTATATGGCACCTTTTTCACCAACCCACCCAAATACATATGAAAATATTAACATTCAAATTATGAAAATGTATAATACGGTAGCATTCATTACATTCGGTTTGGGAATTTTCGTTTCTCATTTTTCCTGTTCCACGGTTAACCACGCTACAAATTGCTCCACAAAGATTGAGCTGCATATCGTTCAACGCAGTGTCCCCCCACAGTTGGGCAATCGACATCATTTATTTGAAATTATTCAGTATGTTTGTTCCTTCGAACTGCTGGACCGAATTGACAATACATGTGAATGTGTGTGTGTGTGTGTCTCACTCTCTCTCTCTCTCCCTCTCACAGCCTGTGTCTCCTTGTGTACACACAATACAAATGACATTGTACTGTACACTCACTCGCATCCATCGATGGGTGACATAGAACAGATTCACGTAAATTGTAATAAGTAAAGATTGCAACATTTACACAATGGACAAGGGCTCCACATTCATTCGTTCGTTCATTCGCTCATTTGTTGAAACTCTAGAGGGGAAAATTGATATTGAGGGCGGGTTAGTGTGTATGTAAATGAATAAATGTGACTGTCCATTAGGATATGTTTCGTATGCACAAAGTGATTCTTATTGATGTTGTGTCGGGTACTTTGCATTACTGTGGTTATTATGTTGTGTTATTCGCATCATCGTTGTTGTTCTTGTTGTTGCCGGGCAAGTATGGCAGTATGTGTTTGTGCTGAATGGCAATTATTACATTGGGGAAAAAACTCCACAAACAAATTCATGTACGATTGGTTGTTTGGTCGATTCCGGTCAGTTGGTGGCCAAGGGAGCAAGAAGTAACCCGTGACTAAGGCAGTCATTGTTGTCGTTTATGCGTGTGTCTGTGTGTGTGTTTAGTCCTATAAATTCTCAAACAAATCTATTTGTGTTTGCACACTATTTATATGTAAATGTAGTCAAATGGATTTTCATCTGTGTCCATGACTGGATCTGGACACAGGCTGAATAAATGCAAATAATGGAAAATTAGACATTGTGTGTTGCGTTGACAATCAGCAACAAAAGCAAATACATAAATGAATTGTCTGTCCCAAATACAGACGGTTGTGGTTGACATTTATGGTTTTTAAGAACTGCAAAGAACAACATGCCGGGCCGAAAAAGTTAACTAATCTATAAGAAATTTATGCTATTATTGAATTATTATTGCAACAAATTTTTGTTGACCACAAAAGTTCCTAAGAATTTGGAAGACTTAAGGCACTTGCTACAAAGGAATGTTTTAGTGGGCAGAAAGATTTCTTCAGAAATTGTCAAAATAAGTCAACTTTAGCAAAGCACTTCTTTCTGGCAGACAACTCAAATACCCAATGGATGAAAAAGCACTACATAAAATTGATATGCTTGGTGTCTCATGTGGTGGCTATAATCTCATTGTTACAGCAATTAGGATATTAAAAAGAACAGGTTTTGAAAACCACAATGCTCGTGTAATTGCTGTGATGTTTTACTCACTCTTATGTGTCGAGAAAATTAAACAAGGTATCTCAAGCCATGTTCTATTGTGGCGTCGAATTTGTCGAGTAATGGGATGCCTTAGAGTTTATGTCATATTAATGTAGGACAGTTACATTGTAATCGTATTAGATAGTATGGAAGTTATATCAAAATCCGAAGCGATTATCATTAATTTCCGAAGTCCAAACTTCAACTTGATGAACGGACGTGTATAAATCGACCCGGTTAGTCATGCTGTGAAGATCGTCAAAGGCAACTATGAGTTTATCTCAGACAAGGTAATAATACCCCTTAGGGTATAAAAATTTTGACACTCGTATTCATTTAACTATATCAACTTTATCTCAATTTATACCAGAAAGAAATTGGCATCAAAGTGAAAATCATATATACACTCTGAGTGATTCTAACAGCACAATTTATAACCCCAGTTCTTTAATTCGCCCAATACCAAATGTCAACATTTAAGGTCATTGCTTTTCAGTACTTATAGTTCGAATTAAAAAGTAGCAGCAAGTCCGAACCGGAGGAGCAGTAAGTCCGAACTGGGGAGGAGGCTATACGATCACGTTGACCTGGATATTCAATTTTCTGTCACATATGGCAGTGCCCATAAGAAACTTAAAATATGAAATTTTAAACAATTCCTGTGAATGATGTCACCAAAATCATCAAAACACCGAATATAGGGAAGCATCGCTATATGGGACGTTACGATGACCTTCAAACTTCAAATACGCAATTTGATATCTGGTGAATAATGTCGCTAAAATCGTCAAAACACCGAATATCTGGAGGTACAGTTATATTGGGGCTATACCAAAACGTGGACCAATATACCTCATTTTCAATACCAAAAGTTCTGTAGACAAAACTCACATCTGTGTAAAATTTTATTAATCTAATTCAATTTGTTCAGAAGCTAGAGTGATTTCCACAGACGGACGGACGTAGAGACGGACCAAAACGTGCTTAATGAAAAAAACTGTTTTAGATCCTAGGTCTTCTTTGGGCCAAATCCGCTTCAGGACATTTGGAGTCGATCTAGTGAGGTTCGCCTATATGTCTGTATGGCTGCCTAGTGTGCACTATAACTCTAGAAGGTACCTCCCCCACAAAACTTCCGTATTTCTCAAAAGAGCTAAAGAGTATGCTTCGCTTGGCCGAAAGTGGTGAACTGCCGAATTTGGTTTTCTCCGATGAGAAAACATTCGTTGTTCAGCAGTTTGTAAACAAACAAAATGATCGTGTTTACTTGCCAAAGAGGTCAGCTGAAAATGTGCAACTTCGGTTGGCCACCAGAACTTAAGCGCCGGCCATGGTGATGGTGTGGGCCGCCATAACAGCCAAGGTCGCTCTCCGCTTGTATTAATTGACCGTGGCATTAGAATTAATGCCGATACCAATCCGTTGGACTATTGTGTCAGGAGTATTTTGAAAAGCATGGTTGGCACTAACAAATACCAAAGTGTCGATCACCTCAAGGAAGCGATTCGCCGGAATGGGCCAAATTACCGCAGAGCAACAATCGGGAAGCGTGTGACGGTTACATTGGCCGTTTGAAGGCCACAATTCGTGCCAAAGATGTCCAATTCGAAGAAATCTAAACTTATTCTAAAATTTGATGTTATTTCCGACATTTTTTACTTTCATTCAATAAAGTTAAAAAAGATTTAAAAACTATGGCTTTTGACTTTGTTGCCGTTTTTTTATACAGGGTGAGATACATCTTATTCCGATTTCAATTTTATTGTGCGCCAGGTGTGT